GGGGTCTTAGCGGCTGTTTTAGAATGGAACCATTGTTTTAATTCAATACACATTACACAACACAACAAAAAATTTAAATCCTGAAATTTAAGATCTGTTTTACCTTTCCAAAGTTGAGATTTAATCTGTTAAACTCAGCAATTAATTCGGCCATCTTCCTAAGTAAGAGGTTATTGATTTTTTAAGTCAATAATTCAAATTTTATTTGACCGTTCATAATTTTATTTGACCGTTTATAATTTTATTTGACCGTTCATAATTTTATTTGATCGTTCATAATTTTATTTGACCGTTCATAATTTTATTTGACCGTTCATTGAATTACAAGGTTAGATTTTCTAAAAGTTTATCACCTCTAGGGTTAACGATCTGAACCGATGAAGTGTAATGAAACACAAAAATGGAAAATTGGGCTTTCCACTGAAACAATAATTGTTCTTTCATGTAATAATTGAAAACAAATTACTTTTGGAGGCATATTATTTTATATATTATATATTATATTATTTTATAAAAGCATTATCTATCTCGTCTATGCGTCCGCAAGTTCAATCGTTGCATGATCCGAACCAATACAAGACTTTAACCAAGGTTGTTTATTAAGGTTGCAATTGCTCTCAATGCACTCCCATGTACGAAAAATGTCGTCTCCTAAGTGAGGGACAGTGAAATCCTTTAATGACTTCACTTAAATCCTTTCAATCGACTCTATAAATAGTAGTTTACGAATGATTTCACTGTCAATTACTTGGGAGTCGGAGACGACATTTTCCGTACATTGGAGCGCATTGAGAGTAAGCAACCAGTCCATGAATCATGAAACATACATATTTACTCATCTAGTAAACCCAATGTTTAGTGGTCCCTGCTTATTATGCAAACAATCTAGGGCGGCAGGATTTATGCAAATTGAGAACCAGAAAACTGTGGAATATGAAGACAACACTAAGGCAATACTTTTGTAAATTTGATTTTGTTACACCCCAAATAGTTTTACCAGTTACTTTTTAAATCACTTTACAAGTTAATTCGGTCTGTTAACACTAAAAAATATTTTTTTCTCATGTTCACAACTTGAGTCTATAAGTCGTCTTCTTATTCCAAAGTTTTCTGGTTCTCACTGTATGCTCACAACTTAAATTAAAGACTTCACAGGATAGTGCTATTTCACTTTTTATCACTTAATTTGCACTGGAAAAACTTTTTTGAGCATTGACGAACTAGATTTTTTCAAGAACCGGGCCGGGCCGACATCTAGCAAACTGAAGCTATAGAGCGAGCTGTACAGTACACATACAGATTATTCCAAGCAAAATGGGACGGTACACCAAATGAACAACTAGATATAGATAAAAAACTTTATCACAAACTTTTCAGCAACAGAAAATAACCGGAATTTCTTTTACGCATTATTGCTCGGATCCAGTTGAAATTTTTTTCAATATTGACATTTTTAGATTCTTACATATCTTACGTTGGATTTATTGCTTGCTTCCATAAGTTCTCTTTGGCGGGAACTTCCTGTCCTTGCACTGCTATACAAATGATAAATGCTATTGTGAAGAAAAGTGAATACTGTCGCATGATGTCCTAATTGGTACTAAAAAGATTACACTGTTATGCATGTTTTAACAGTTGTTTAATTCTCACCGGGCAAAATATTGACAATAAGGAATAGTTCAAGAAAATATATATATTCCTGGAAATTTTGTTGTGAGGCACATTTTTGCATAAAGATGCTTTTTCATCTCAGGTTTCAGTAATTGTCAGGTGTAAACTCAGTTAGTTGATTTGATAAAGCAATTCCATATAGAATATTAGGTGAGATTTTAAAGTAAACAGATCAGAAAAGTGAAAAAATAATTATTAAATTCTAAATAAGTAAGAAAACTTTATTTTTACCTAACATTGTTTTAAGATTGTTTATTTTGATTAATTTTAAAACAACATTTTACAACTATTTAACAATTCAACATTGACTTTGTGTTTTTAAACTTTAATTTCTAATTTGAGATTAATTCAAATCTAATACAAATTTAGTGCAAAATATTTATATTAAAGTTTTATTTTCAGCTTGATAAACTTTTTAAACTTATGAATTGCTTTTACGAGTTCTCATTGAAGAATGTTGCTTTGATCTAGTTTATTTTCTAAATAAAGACAAAACTATTTTTTTAAATTTATCAAATATCAAAGAGCAAATTGTTTTTTTTTTTTTTACCGAATCAGGTCAAGTTACACTTGCACAGTATAATTATTCATTTTATACCAATTCATATACATCTAATTCATCTAGAAGTAAAATAAAAGTAAAAATAAAGATAATGATGAGTCTAAAGTATTTTAAATCTTTAAGGATGCGCTTTACAATTTTGGTGGGTCTACTCATACTTGGGGTGGTTGGAGCAGCACCAAGAAAAGGAGGAAGTGAACACGAAGATGCGGAGGGAGGGATAAAATCCCATGCTGAGAAACTACAAGATCTCGAAAAAGACCCTAAAGAGAATTCCGCAGAATCTGATGATGATAAGAATTCCAAAGAGGATTCAAAAGAAGGAGAAGCAAAGGAACAATCCAAAGAGGAATCAAAAGAAGAATCAAAAGAAGAATCAAAGGAAGATCAGGAAAATAAAGAAAGTTGTAGACTTTTTTCATAGAACATTTTTAAAATTCAAAACCTAAATTCTTTTTGTGTAAAATTTTTTATTTTTAGGAAAATTCTGCCGAAGAAAAAGAAGAAAATCAAAAAGAGCCATTAAAAGTTGGAGCTGCTAGGGTTGCCCAAGATGCTCCTGCAGCTAATGTAGCCACTACTGCAGCTCCTGCTGATGCTGCTGCTCCTGCTGATGCAGCTGCTCCTGCTGATGCAGCTGCCCCAGCTGATGGTGCTGCTCCTGCTGATGGTGCTGCTCCTGCTCCTGCTGATGGTGCTGCCCCTGCTGATAGTGCTTCTCCTGCTGATGGCGCTGCCCCAGCCGATGGTGCTGCTCCTGCTGATGGAGCTGTTCCTGCTAAGGGTGCTGCTCCTGCTGATAGTGTTGCTCCTGCTGATGGTGCTGCACCAGCTGAGGATGGTGCTACCACTGCTCCTACTGATGGTGCTGATGCTAATCGTGGTCTTGACGCTGGAGCAGATGCTGGAGCCCCAATAAAACTTGACATTAAGTCCACCCAAGAAGGAACAGCTATTGTGGGTGAGGTTATTGGAAAACTCAAGTCCTTAAATGGTTGGCTGGAAGGTGTTGTTGGATACTGGAATGGAATGGTGGAGAAATCTGGGGCAGTGTCACAAGATGATATCACTAAAGCAAAGGCAGGAGCTGGTAAAGCTGATGCAGCTGGAGGGGAAACAGCAGATGCTTCTGATGATTCTGCTGATGCTAATCGTTCTGATCCAGGAGATGGTGCTGACCCTGCTGCTCCAGCAGATGCTGATCCAGCAGATGCTGATCCAGATGCTGCTGATGCTGCTGCAGGGGATGCAGATGCAACTACTGCTTCAGCAGATGCTGCAGGAGCTAATAATTCAACAGCCCCAGCAGATCCTGCTGCTCCTGCTGACCCTGCTGCTCCTGCAGACCCAGCTGCTCCTGCTGACCCCGCTGCTCCTGCAGACCCAGCTGCTCCTGCAGATCCTGCAGCTGCAGACCCTGCAGCCACCACACCAGCCGCTGCAGCTGCTCCCGAAGCTGCTAGAGTTATGGGAGAGGATGCAGAAGAAATAGGATCAGGTAGAATATGTTTTCCAGACAAATCTTTTAATATCAAAGTTATTAAATCTTATGTTTAGAGGGAGAAGTGGAGCCTCATAATCATGAATTAGCACTTGAATCTGACAGAGTAATGGGTGAACCTGGTAAGACAAGGTTTCAAACCTGTTTTCCAGTTCAAGTTGTAGATGGGCATGTTCAGCTTTTTTCAATTTCTTCATAAATATTTCTTTAATGACTAATTTCATTAATTTTGTTTCAGTTGTTCATGAAAACTTTAAATTTGTTTTACATATATCCTTCATTTTCCAGCTTTTTGTTCCTTTTTCAAACGATCATTTGTTTAATGAAATTGTTTGTTTCATTCTCAAATAAGATGCTCATCTCTAGTTTGAGTGATAAAATCTTCTCTTTAGAGGGAGAAGCAGAACCACATAATCATGAATGGGAACCAGAATCTGATAGAGTAATGGAAGAACCAGAATCAGGTTCTGATATGTAAATACAAACAATAAATGCAGTTTATGTAAATATTAAGTAATTGTATTGTTTATTTTGATAAGAAAGATAATATTCTTGATTTTGAATAGGATATCAAAACAGTTTTATGCAATAAACTTGTTATTTGTTTTGTATGTTAGTTCAATTTATTAAATAATTAGTTCCAGGTTTTGTCACCAGGTGGTACATACATCGTACATAACATACGAGAACTGCCGCACAATATGATTTTACTTTAGAATGGGAGGCGCATCATGATTGGGCAGAGAAGAAATAAAGGAGAATAAAATCTTAAAGAATCTTAAAACTCAATCTAGGATTTAAAATCAGAAACAAATCACTATGAATGTAAATAAAAGTATGTTAAAAATATATAGTTTTTATTACTCGTGATTTGCAGTGTGTCTCCGAAACATATATAGTTTTTATTACTTGATATGTGTTCCGAAACATAAATAGTTCTTATTTCTTGATATGTGTGTCTCCGAAACATATATAGTTTGTATTACTTGATATGTGTGTCTCCGTAACATAAATAGTTCTTATTACTTAATATGTGTGTCTCCGAAACATATATAGTTCTTATTACTTAATATGTGTGTCTCCGGAACATATATATTTCTTATTACTTGATATGTGTGTCTCCGAAACATATATATATAGTTCTTATTACTTGATATGTGTGTCTCCGAAACATATATAGTTCTTATTACTTGATATGTGTGTCTCCGAAACATATATAGTTTTTATTACTTGATATGTTTGTCTCCGAAACATATATAGTTTTTATTACTTGATATGTGTGTCTCCGAAACATATATATTATATAGTTCTTATTACTTGATATGTGTGTCTCCGAAAAAAAAATTATTATTATATTGCGAGAGTGTTTTAAGATCTTAACCCTTTTCTTGTATCCAAGTATGCAAGGATTCATTGCAAAAAAACAGTTATTTAGCAAAAAATTAGCAAAAACCAAAAAGTGAACGTATTATGTCAGATTAACCATGATTAAAAAGCCATTAATAACGCAGATTCAAATATGCAAAAGTATTTCCAAATTTTCAAAACCTGTAAATGGCGAAAATTTTGGGTAAATAATTTTTATGTTTGACATCGGCATGTTGGAGATTAAATGTTGAAAGGGAGGTGTCTGTTCAAAAATCCAAATAGAAATATCAATGACCTCCTTTCCTATCAACATTTTGAACGTTTAACTGATATCCACCAACTTTAATCGTTCTAAAATTTTGGCGGAGTTCCTTTTGAATTGGTAAATTGTCAAAAATAATATCAACCTTTTTTCAGGAAACATTATTTATCTTTACAATTAAAGGTTTATGAACCTTCCCTAGGGTTTTGTGAGGTGCAAAAAAAACATTTGGGCCTGATCGGTTAAACTTTTTGACGTTTATTAGATACTGACAGAGAGACAACAGACACGCCAAATACATAGAAAATACCAAAAACTACAGTCCCCCTAGATACAGGGTGTTCCACCAATCGTGATAGTAGCAAGACGACTTGAACGTGGTCTTTGACTTTTTGAAATAACTTGCTTCATTTATTTGTCAACCTAATTTCAGAAGTAAAATTCCAGAGATAATACTCACAAAATATCCCTAGTCCTGACATTTCCAAAATGTGGTCTGCCTTTGTTGTGCTTTCAATATTACCGGAGATATGAATAATTTCCTTCAGTTTTGACAATTTTGGTTTTTGATGGATAATTCCAATTGAAATTGAAATCTGAACAAAATTCTTAATATCTTTGGTAATATTGACCAGGCAAAAAAGGCTGACCACATTTTAAAAATTCCAGGGCAAGGAGAATTATGTGGTTATTGTTGTAAGAATCATACATGTTAAAGTAGGTTAACGACTGAATGTCAGAAATAAATTCCAAGATTAAAGATTGCTTTCTACTTTCTAGTCGTCTTGCTACTGGCATGATTCGTGGGACGTAATGTATGTAAACAAAGATATAGAAATTCCTGACATTTTCCTTGGTTTTTAAGCAGTTGTATCTTTGAGTGTTGTTAAGTGTGTGTGTGTGAGTGAGTGAGGGAGTTTGTGAGTGAGGGGTGTGAGTGTGTGTGTGTGTAGAGGCCAGTATTCGGCCTCCTGTTGAGCCGAGGTCCCCCCTAAAACCAACTTCAACTGTTTAAGTATATTTCTAACCTCCAGCAAACTAGATTATGGAAACCGTACACACAGCTATACCTTTACATTGGCTGCAGTACAGTGATATTACATGCGTACAACTGTATGAGCTGAGAGTACATCAGGAGTACATAAACTTGATATGAGCCGGCCTGATCCTCCCCTCACATTAAACTTTAAGGTATTTGACATACTGCACTGTTACAATTTGATAAAAAGTTTTAAAAGCCTAATATCAACTTTCTATGTTATTGTTTCGCTCTTTACAGGATAGTTAAAGGTTTAATTTAAACATTAAGATTGTTAGCTCTTATATATATATTGGGCTTTCTTTTAAGATATTTCTACCTCATTGATTTTTCAAGTGTTTCACCCAATGGTAAAGTTAACTACTATAGTTACGTAAAATTAACTAGTTTATTATGGAAGTATTGAAATAAACTCAGTCTACTCTAGATATCATTTTTAAATCAATGTATAGCACAAGTATAGAGAAAATGGGATGGAAAGTGAAGGCTTAGACCAGAGATCTGAATCGCCGTGTACAGGGACTTTGATCGCATATAGTATAAACCTAAAAAATTAATATTTATGTTAAAATTTAAATAAAGTCTTACTACACAATTAAAAAAAAAAAATTGAAAACTTTTTATTGAATGACAAAAGCCATCAAAATTTAAACAAAAAATTACCTGAAAGTGAATTGAAAGCAATAATTAAAATTGTTTTATATGAGCTTATATCATTATCTTGATTAACCTTCAAACTTCAGTCTAAATTCTGGAGTATAATCACTAAAATTGAATTATCTTTAAAGTGAATTGAGATCCTACGCTGAAATAAAAAGAAGAATGAAAAAAATGTGTTTTGTCCATAGAGAATAGAATATATATTAGAGGGGAATTTACTAGAAAAAAATGTAAAACGGCCATTTCGTTGTACTGTTTCCATACTGCAGGTGTACTTCACATATCTATGCTATATAACCTTTTGGGCCCTGGAATATCATTTTTTAGAAAATCTAAAATTATTTTTAAAAGAAAACCAAATTATGAAATAGGCTGGTTTCCTAATTAACCAATGATCATTTCACATTACAAACGATAATTTTCCGTTATAACTATAAATCAAATGATGTTTTTTATTCACCTAATTCATTATAAAGTTTATTTAACAGTTTAAAAAATTCGAAATTGAAATGAATAGTCTAGGGAACATACTGTATTAATATACTCTTCTGCATATAATTTGTGAAACATTTACATGATTTGTACACTTTGAACTCCCTTTCAGGCTGAAAGGGACTGAAAAAATTCATACCGAGAGATTCTTTAAATTCCCCTCTAATATATATTCTATTCCGGTTTTGTCCGTAAAGCTTTTTAGTTTTGAAATCATAAACACATATATATATTATAGGAACTAGCAGGGCCTTCTGATACTGTTAATCCTAGCAAAAGAAACGCTCAAAAAATATACAAAGGACCACCTTTAGGTTAGTTTATGTATCTATATATATAAAGTTGTATAATTTCTGTTTGTCTACCTGTTTGTTTGTTTTTTTGTTCGATCATAATTCAGGAACCCTTGGACCGATTTGCCTTAATTTGATTGGGAACTCGGGAAAGCCACAGGAATGTTCTTAGCTTGGTTTTGAGTGGGTTGACTTTTATCAGGAAAAATAGCTAAAATCGTAATTTACGACCAAATGTGGGTAAACGACGGGAGTAACTATGGCAAAACTGGGTTCCCAAGCTATTATTAAGATAATTTAAAGTGAGGGAATTATTCCCCCAGTGATTATTTCTATAGAACTTTTCAATTTTGGTTACACACTGAATATTATTTTAGCTTCTGTTGAGTCTCTCCTAAGCTACGAACCAAGAAAACGAATACCAGGGCCCCCAATAGGTAAAAACAGTTCAGGGCCCCCATTAGGTAAAACCAGTCCAAGGACCCCAGATAGATAACTCCAGTTCCAGGGTCCCCGATAGGTAAAACCAGTTCCAGGGCCCCCGATAGATTAAAACAGTTCCAGGGCCATCGATAGATAAAACCAGTTCCAGGGCCCCCGATAGATTAAACCAGTTCCAGGGCCATCGATATGTAAAATTAGTTCCAATGCCCCCGATAGGTAAAACTAGTTTCAGGACCCCCAATAGGTAAAACCAGTTCCAGGACCCCTAATAGGTAAAACCTCTCATTAGCTCCCGCTAGGTTAGCCAGTTCCAGGGCCCTCGATAGGTAAAACCAGTTCCAGGGCCCCCGATAGGTAAAACCAGTTCCAAGACCCCCAATGGGTAAAACCACTTATTAGCTCCCGATAGGTAAAGCCAGTTCCAGGGCCCCCAATAGGTAAAAGCAGTTCCAGGGCCCCCTATAGATAAAACCAATTCCAGGGCTTCCATAAGGAAAAAGCAGTTCTAGGGCCCCCGATAGTTAAAGCCAGTTCTAGGGCCCCTGATAGGGAAAACCAATTCCAGGGCACCCGATAGGTAAAAGCAGTTCCAGGGCCCCCGATAAGTAAAAGCAGTTCCAGAGCCCCCGATAGGTAAAACCACTTATTAGCTCCTTGAGGTTTATATGTTACAAATTAAAGTTAATAGATGTAATTACAATTCCTATGTCGTTATCTATATCACATGATTAAGACAATCATGCTACGCATGACGGCGCAGTTGAAATAGGTGCAATTAAGATGCACGTCATTATATATATCACTTGATTAAGCTAATCCCAGGGCCCCCGATAAGTAAAAGCAGTTCCAGAGCCCCCGATAGGTAAAACCACTTATTAGCTCCCACTAGGTAAACCCAATTCCAGAGTACCTAGCATAGGTAAAAAGAAATAAGTAGTTTTTTTCAGCTTCTGTTGAATCCTTGTTGAGTTGTGAGAAGTTTTCTCCCCGTCAAGACAAAAGGTATTTTCTAATCTTTGTTTTGGGCATTTTTCCTTATAATAATATAAGGAAATAATATTAAGCATTTTTTAATTATTGAATACAAATATTCAATTCTTCCTAGTTCTGTTTTTAAATATATATATGTGTAAATATAATTTACTTCTAAAAAAATATGATAACATAACAACATTTATTTCGATTTTCGAACATTTCTGGAAAATATTAAAATGTCGTCTTCATTATCAAAAACCCTCGAAATTTTCGGAATGAATTTTTTCAAAAGTAAAACTTCGATAGAATGATTAGTTACAATCTGAATGAACGACGACGCGATGATACGCTTTTGAGAGTAAGGCGTTTTTAACAATTCTCTCTTCATTATAGACGCAACAGATAGAAGTAAATTAGTGGCGATCAATATCGAACTCAATTCGATATCGCCTATACCAATCTCCACTCTCATTTTTCGCGAACACTCCCTTTAAATTTAGAAAAAAAATACTTTTAGTATATTTTAATTAATGAAATATAAATTATTTTAACTAAAAATTATTTATTCCAGGGCAAGGAGAATTATGTGGTTATTGTTGTAAGAATCATAAATGTTAAAGTAGGTTAACGACTGAATGTCAGAAATAAATTCCAAGATTAAAGATTGCTTTCTACTTTCTAGTCGTCTTGCTACTGGCATGATTCGTAAAAAATATACTTCCAGCAGCTTTAAAATGAACGACATTAGTAAATTAAACATGTGCGCAAAGCGCCAACAAATTCGGTTATTCTAGTGACTTTTCATGAATTTCTCATGGTGTATGATAGTCCCTGGCGTAGTCATATTTACTATTTATGTAAAGTCCCCTTTTACAGTCAACGGCAATTTTTGTAATTCAACCACTTGTTATATTTGTCCACTATATAGTCCCTTTCTGATCGAAGTCCCTCTGTCCTTGTTTGCCAGTAAGGGGCTTATCTCTTTTCCTTTTGTAGTCTACAAAAGTCCTAATAGTCCGATATAATCCTTATTATATTTCTTATTGTTATTCTTCTTAGATTTTCAGGTTTTGTGTAACTGTTAAATGGTATATGTATTGTAATACTCACGAGAAGTAACATATAAACATGTATTTTAGAGAGGATAAATTAAGAATGAGTGACTTTCTTTATGTCGAAAACGAGAAAATAGTTAGAAATTCTATTAAAAATGATGCGCGCTTCGCCCAAGAAAAATGTTGGTATTTTTTCTTCATTGACAAAATTTGATAAAAGATGGTCCACAATCATTATCATGCTGGCAGATGCATGCTAGAGTCAAGTGAGGGGGCAAAATTTTCTGAGGGGGGGGGCGAAACTCGGCTCACCCCGCCTAGTTGCGCCACTGAATACCCTACTCCAGAATGGTTTCTTTAACCCCTATCTATCCAGGTACAACTCGATTCTCTTGACTATCAATGTCAACACACGGCTACAATCCCGTGAACTATCAATGCCACTACCACGGGGCGCGATCTCGTTAGCTATCAATGTCAACATGGACAGTAGCAATAAGTCGACCAATGCCTCAACCAGGACACAATCCAGTGAACTGTAATCATCACCACTACCATGGGGCGTGATCTCGTTAGCTTTTGATGTTCTCTAGACACTAGCTTGTAACTATTAATGCCAAAACTCAAGGCACGATCTTTAACTCATTTGTTTAGAACAAGTACACAATCACTCTCTGACAGTAATCAGTACGGAGTCTCTATATCAACTAAAGCATTTTGAGGTTTATATGTTACAAATTAAAGTTAATAGATGTAATTACAATTCCTATGTCGTTATCTATATCACATGATTAAGACAATCATGCTACGCATTACGGCGCAGTTGAAATAGGTGCAATTAAGATGCACGTCATTATATATATCACTTGATTAAGCTAATCATGCTACGTAGTCCTTTGAAGCGCAGATCAAATGAATAATGGGTTTTACGTAGAATTTTACAATTGTAGATAGTTAATAATGTACAACATACTTCATGCAGGTTTACAGAATATCATGTTATCCGTTATTTCTCACATGTAATGATATTAATTATTGCAATAAAGGAAAGGGAATAAATAAGATAAATATATTGTATTTAATACTATTAAAGAAAATAAATGAAAAATCTCCAGTTTACTCACAATCATAAAGATAATTCCAAAATTCTGTATTATAAGCAAAGACTTTATAAGCTAAGAACTATAGGTAATGAAATAATCCATAAATTATTATTATTAAACCCTAGGATTGAAATATTTAATTGGACTAAAATAAAACTTATCTATAGTTTAATCATAATTAAAAACAACAAATCGTCAACAATTACAAATATTTTTATCAAACATTACTAAATGAACTGCAAACATACTTATAAGTGAACATTTCATGCTTCTGTGAGGAAGATATCTTCGTTTTTAACGTTAAATAAATTCTAAACTGTCACTTTTAAAGAGGATCCTAACTTGATAATAGTCAATTTTTAGCTGATAAAATCAGAATGTCTCATTCATCCTTGATCACTGATCAGATAGAAGTTAAAAGGGACATAAGTTGTGCAGCTATTAATAATAGTGTATTTAAAAATTTCAAATAGTGATTATTATATATATTTAAAGGTTAATGTCTGAGGATGAAAAATCAGCTGAGATCTTAAAACTTCTTCCCCTTCTCTCTCCCTTCTCACAAAGCTTTGCTGCTCTAAAGGTACACTTTTAACTAAACTTAATAAATATCTTAAATGTTTGTATAATCATAATCTCTCTCACTGAAGAGCTATTGAGAAGAAAAAATGTTTTTAATTTTTTAACCGGGTAAATATGCATTTCTCTTACTTGTGCATAAAATCAGAACTGAAGGAGCTACGAGCTTGCAAAGTCCTACCAGTAATGTCCTTGTATCAAGTTTGTAGCATTGAAATAGAATCTCACATAGAGTGTTACTCTATGGAATCTCAGTTAATTCTATTAACATTTCATGGTTGAAAAGAATATTTTTCCTGTGATCTTCCAATACCCCCCCCCCAAAAAAAAAAAAAAAAATGCCTGTAAAATATATTGTTTTCGATATATATTTTATGATAGAATAATACTGACGATAGATAGAGGGTGTTTAGGCTTTATAACAAAATGGAATCTCAGAACACAGAAATTGTGTCACAAACTCAAACTTTCTAATCTTTATATCTTTGCAACCTAATGGTTATCAACTTTGATATTTTAACCTTATTATTTTATTTAACAGAGTTCATAGTTTGACATATCTATTAATGATAATATGAATACTTACTTAGGAAGGAATACAGGGTGCTATTGCAAGATTACAGGCATTGGAGGAAAATCAGAGGTAAGGAACAAGAGGAATGTCTAAACTTAAACTTTTAAAGCATATTTAGTAAATTTGATATCGGAGTCTTTTTGAGGAGTGTCGTCCATCTTGAACTCTTGATTTCTCCTATCCAATGTGAACACTTTTAAATTTTATTATAAATGTTAAATATAAGGTTATACCAGCAGATCTGCAGGTTATTTAAATTCCTCTAAAAATTCCCGTGTTAGTCATAACCGGCAAGGCTGCAGAGTGCAGTGATATAAGGAATTGTATCTGGCATTGATCTTATTCCTTAAATTCATTAGTGCCCACATCGTATATCAATATAAAGCGTTCAAGATTAACAATATCCACACACAAGTTCCGATTTCTGTTAACTTCAAGGAACTTCAAGCACAATGTTAAGGTACCCTCCTTGCAAAAATGACAATGCCCGATTCACAAAGCTTATTAAGTAAGAATTGTATATCAAAAACAGATTATTTAAAATTTTGGTTTCTCTACAAAAGTAACTTGCACATTTCTACTGCAGGAAAACGTATAGAAGTTATGAGAATTAAACCTAGAAAAACGACGATATCTGCCACATTATTTATCAGACAAAGGGTTCAAGGGTAGCATTGATTTCTTTGCATACAGGATATTTCGCTTACAATTCATAGCTATTCATTGCCATATATAAACAGTGAAAGATACTTTTTCGTAATTTTTCTTCTAGGACGCTATTCTTTAATTTTAAGTTTGCCAAACCTAAATTTTCCTTCTAGGAAGCTATTCTTTAATTTTAAGTTTGCAAAACCTAAATTTTCCTTCTAGGACGCAATTCTTTAATTTTAAATTTGCAAAACCTAAATTTTCCTTCTAGGACGCAATTCTTTAATTTTAAATTTGCAAAACCTAAATTTTCCTTCTAGGAAGCAATTCTTTAGTTTTAAGTTTGCAAAACCTAATTTTTTCTTCTAGGATGCTATTCTTTGATTTTAAGTTTGCAAAACATAAATTTTTCTTCTAGGAAGCAATTCTTTAATTTTAAGTTTGCAAAACCTAAATTTTCCTTCTGGGATGCAATTCTTTAATTTCAAGTTTGCAAAACCTAAATTTTTCTTCTAGGACGCAATTCTTTAATTTTAAGTTTGCAAAACCTAAATTTTTCTTCTCGGACACTTTTTTTAATTTTAAGTTTGCAAAACCTAAATTTTCCTTCTGGGATGCAATTCTTTAATTTTAAGTTTGCAAAACCTAAATTTTTCTTCTAGGACACATTTGTTTATAATTTTAAGTTTGCAAAACCTAAATTTTCTTCCCAGGACGCTATTCTTTAATTCTAAGCTTGCAAAACACAATTTTTTCTTCTGGGACGCAACTCTTTAATTTTAAGTTTGCAAAACCTAAATTTTCCTTCTGGGATGCAATTCTTTAATTTTAAGTTTGTAAACCTAATTTTTCCTACTGAAAAGAACCGGAGTTAATCTTTCACGTAAGTCTTAGAAAAGCTTCAAAATCAAATTTTGTAATATTTGCGAAATGTTTAAACTTGAGACTGGAAACTCTGTAACCCTTTATTCGCTGTGACCAGCTTTTACTTCCCATTTATACTCTGTGGTTTAGGCAAAATGAATGGAATGATGGAGGTGTTTTCTTTGGAGAACAGGCCGAGTCCATTCACTCCGAGAGGTAGAGGCAACTTTTATTTTGTAAAAAACTCGAAAATACAACTCTTCAGAAATTCCTAAATTATTTGATTACAAAATTTTAAAAATAAAAAAAAAACAGTTTATATTTCACACATTTTCTCGGATCTAAGACAAACACGAATGAGGTTAGCAATAAAGCTTTCATACTTCCCTATTATTTTATTCAGAAAGTTAACCCAAGGTTAACCCTATCGCGATTAGGGGGTGGGGGGTTTCAAAATGATGATGTATATGGTAG